GACATACATCTTTGTATACATCCCCACATGGATCATTACAAAGGTTGCCACCACATTGGCATCTTTTCAAAACATTTTCAAAACACACACACAAAGCACCATTTCAAACAAATTGAAAACAAAAGGCAAGTGATCTAAGCAAGTAACTAAGAGCCCATGGATAACCATGGATAGAAAGGGTGCTAATACCTTCCCTTTCTATAATCTACTCCCTGAATCCAAGAAAACATCTCAAAAGGTTTTTGCTGTGCTTTTTAACCTTTCCTTAGGATAAAATAAAAAGTCGGTGGCGACTCTTGCTAACCGCAACATTTGCGAATACAAACGCAAAACCCAAGTCAGTTCTCCCACCGTATCACACATTGCAATTCACAAGTCAAGGTTGCCAAGGCTCTGTATTCTGCTTCTGAACTGGATTTGGATACTGTAGACTGCTTTTTGGATTTCCAGGATATGAGGGAATTGCCAAGGAACACACAATATCCAGTTACGGATCTGCGGGTAGTATGGCAACTTGCCCAATCTGAGTCTGCGAAGCCAGAGAGTTTGAGTGGAGAGGAAGATGAATAGAACAAACCCTTGGCAGGAGCACCTTTGAGATACTTGAGTACTCGAATTGTTGCAAAATGATGAACTTGCATAGGATGTGAGATGAATTGGCTGATCTGTTGAACGATGAATGCAAGGTCAGGTCTGGTGGTAGTCAGATATAGAAGTTTTCCAACAAGCCTTCGATAAGCTGTGACATCTTCGAAAGGTGGTGAGTTATCATCATGAAGCTTTAAGGAGGAATCGAAGGGAGTAGAGCAAGGTTTAGTAGCCAATAAGCTACTGTCTTCGAGCAATTCCAAAGTGTACTTTCTCTGATTGAGAAAAATACCGTGAGTGGATCTGGCAACTTCTAGACCAAGAAAATATTTTAGCCTACCAAGGTCCCTGATTTTGAAAGTGGAATCAAGGAAGCATTTGACATATTTGATTTCCTGCAAATCATTATCGGCTAAGACAATATCATCAACATAGACTAATAAAACAGTAAAAGAAGAGTCATGTGATTTTGTGAAAAAGGAATGACCAGCAGAAGAATATGAGTAGCCAATAGAGATAAGGGCAGTGGATAATTTCGAAAACCACTGTCTGCTAGCCTGCTTCAGGCCATATAGTGACTTATGTAGTTTGCAAACTTTGTTGGTCGAAGAAGTGCCAACTTCGTTGGTCGAAGAAGTGCTAACTTCGTTGGTCGAAGAGGTGCAAACTTCGTTGGTCGAAGGAGTGCAAACTTTGTTGGTCGAAGGAATGCAAACTTTGTTGGTCGAAGAGGTGCAAACTTTGTTGGTCGAAGGAATGCAAACTTTGTTGGTCGAAGAAGTGAAGAATTCGTTGCTCGAAGTGCAAACTTTGTTGGTCGAAGAATTGTAGACTTCGTTGGTCGAAGAAGCAGGAAGCATGAATCCAGGAGGTAGATCCATATACACTTCCTCATGTAGATCACCATGAAGGAAGGAATTGTTGACGTCAAGTTGTTCCAAGTGCCAATTCTTAATGGCAGCCACTGAGAGGAGGGTTCGAATAGAAGTAAGCTTCGCAACAGGTGAGAAAGTGTCGAAATAATCCACCCCATCCAGCTGAGTATATCCTTTCGCTACTAAACGTGCCTTGTATCGTTCGATGGATCCATCAGCATGATGTTTGATTTTGTAGACCCATTTGCAACCAATCGATTGTTTTCCTGCAGACAAATCAACAACAGACCAAGTATTTGTAGATTCAAGAGCATCTAACTCAGATTTCATAGCATTGTTCCAACAATCAAATTTCCAGGCTTGTTTATAGGTTTTTGGTTCTATGAAAGAACTTATGGATAGACAAAATAATTTGTGATCAGGACTACATTGGCTATAAGATAATACAGAAGAGAGAGGGTAGTTAGAGGAACCTGAGTCAGATGCTGGCAGCATGGGGGATAACAAATTGCAGTGATAATCTGAAAGATAAGCTGGAGGTTTACTATTTCGATTGGATTTTCTGGTTGGCACAGGAGGGGAGGGGCAAGGGGAGTCGTTAGTGTCATTCGAGGAAGAAGAGAGGTTAGTGGGAGATTCTGGCTGGGGGAGAGAGGTAGGAGAGGAAGGTTCATGTGGTGATGGAGGTAAGTTGGGTGGAATATTGGTGAAAATATCAGGTGAATCAATCGAAGGAGGGTCAGGAGTAGGCATTATAGGATTAGGTGCAGGTGGGATGGATACAAAAGGGAACACAGTTTCATAAAAGAATACATTCCTTGAAATGTAAAATTCACGTGTGATAGGATCATAGAGAAGGTAGCCTTTTGTGTCTTCCCTGTAGCCAAGGAAAATAGATTTCCTTGCTCTTGGTTCGAATTTAGTGCGATGGTTAAGCAAGGTTGAAGAATAGGCAAGACAACCAAAGACTCTCATATGGCTAAGGCTGGGAGGAATAGAATGGAGTTTTTGGTATGGAGAGTGGTTGTTTAAAAGAGGAGTGGGAAGACGGTTTATAATATGAATGGCATGTTGTATGGAAAGGTGCCAAAGGTTGTGAGGGAGGTGAGAGTGGAAAGAGAGGGCACGGGCAACATTCAAAATGTGTTGATGTTTTCTTTCCACTATACCATTCTGTTGAGGCGTTTCCACACAAGACCTTTGATGAATGATTCCTTTAGAAAGGTAGAAAGTGGTCATAAGAAACTCAGGGCCATTGTCACTTCAAATGCATTTGAGTTTCTTGTTAAATTGGGTTTCGATAAAGGATATGAAGTGAGTTAAATGGTTTCTAGTATCACTTTTGTTGGCCATAAAAATTGTCCAAGTAAACCTGCTGTAATCGTCTACGAGGGTTAAAAAATATTTGTTGCCACATATCGAAGGTGTGGAAAGAGGGCCCCAAATATCAACATGAAGTAAATCGAAGATGGCAACAGATTTAGTATTACTGTGAGTAAAGGGCAAATGTTTTTGCTTAGCCAAATGGCAAGTGTTACAGGGCTTATGATTGTCATTGTAGGTGACAAAAGGAAATTGAGAGGAAATACATTTGTGTATGTAGGGACTTAAGTGTCTAAGCCTAAGATGCCAAATAGTAGCAGGATCGAATTGGGGAGAAGAGGAGGTGTTGACAGATCCAGATGTGGGAAAGATGGTTTTAGGTGGGGTGGCATCAAGAACATACAATTTGCCAATCCTCCTAGTTGTAAATCCAGTCATCTTGGATTGGGGCAACTGCATAATTTGACAACAATTAGGAGAAAATTTCACATCATATAAAGTGGAGTCAAAAAGAGTGGTGACAGAAATAATATTGACATGAAATGAAGGAAAGTAATAAACTTTGTGAAGGACAAGTGAACCACATAGTAAAACTGAACCAGCAGTATTTGTAGTGACAGAGTCACCATTAGGCATTGTCATAGATTTAGGTGCAATATGGTATGTGGAAACGAAACTGTCAAAGGTATGGGTGATGTGATCAATGGTACCTGTGTCAATGATCCACCAATTATGACAAGGAAGATTTGAGGAATTCTTATCAGAGGTATTCGATACAGAATTTGCAGTATACACTGAATTAATCGAGGGAAGTGAAGGAGATTGCAAATTAGATTGTTGGAGGAGCTGCAGAATCTGAGTGTATTGTTCTTGAATCGTAGACAAAGCACTTAGACTGGTGTTTGATGTGGATGCAGCATCTTGAATCGAATTCACTGTAGAATCAGCAGAATTCCCCACAGATGTAGTAGGCTTGCGTTGTTGAAATCCAGGGGAATAGCCATGTTTCAAGAAGCAGGTCTCAATGGTGTGATTGGTGCGGTTGCAATGGGTACAAAGTCTGTTTTCACGGCCACCACGGCCACGACCACGACCAGTGTTGTGAGAAGAACGAGAAGGTGCTTGAGAAAGGTGATTCACAGATGATTGAGACTCAATCGAAGAAGTAGAAGGTGAAAGAAGGTCGAATTGACGTTCTTGTTGAAGAACCAGATTGAACACATTATCAAGAGTTGGTAGTGGTTTCATCAGCATAATTTGGGATTGAACATTAGCGTATTGGTCACCAAGGCCCTTCAAGAACTTGATAACTTTATCTTGTTCTTTGAATTTGCGTAAGTCTGAAGCAGCACCACAGGAGCACGGTATAGCGCAAGTACAATCACGAATTGGCCGGAAGTTCTCAATTTCTTCCCAAAGCGTCATCAATTTTGTGAAGAACAAAGAGACATCAAGAGTTCCTTGTTGAAGACGAGCAACACTTTCTTGAATGTCAGCAATTAGAAAAATATCTCCCTGAGAAAAACGATTTTCCAAACTTTTTCATACAAAAGAAGCACGATCATACCAGAAGAGAGATTTGGCAATTTCCTCAGAAATCGAGCGTTGAAGCCATGATAGGACGAGATTGTTGCATCGCAGCCAAGGTTCGTATAAAGAATCAGAGGCAGGGGGAGGAGAAAGAGTGCCATCAACGAATTTGATCTTGTTCTTGGAGATAAGAGCTACTTTCATTGATCTAGATCAGATCTGGTAGTTCTTGGTATCAAGAACAGGTTGAACAAGAACAAGAGATAGATTTTCATTAGAGTGCATGTAGTAAGGATTGAAAGGATTGGTAGCAAAATCAGAGTAAGAAAGCGCCATAACAAACGCTGAAACAACAAGAGAAGAAGAGGAAGGCGCGAAGAGGAAAGGCGCGGAAAAAAGAATTCAAACTGATACCATGTTAATTTTGGAATAAACTCATAGTTTTCATTATGATTTGGAATGTACAAAACAACATTATTTATACCGTTAAAGTAACAAACTGTTTAGTAACAAACTAAACAGAATTGTAACAAACTATAACAAACTAAAACTAAGTGTTTAATAATAAACTAAACAGTATTATTTTCATCATGTAATACAAGTTCTGATAGTGGTTGATCTTCTCCCCAAGGACCTTCCCTCTGTTTCCTTACTACCATCTCTCTCATACCTCGGGATATTAGAATGAATCTTCTCCCCTCAACTTGTACGTTGTATAGTATAACCGCCAACATTCTCGCATCCTCCACTTCAATGAATCTAGCAAACCCAAACTTCTTACATATTCTGTTTCTTCTAGGAGCAATTGCAACTTCCACGATCTCCCCAATGCAACCGAAGAGCTCGAAGAAGTCCTTGAATTTGCTTTTTTTCAAAAAATTCGGAAAGTAAATCAAAATCACAACACTACCCTCAGCTCTTCTACCCGCCGAAAAGATGTCCCAGTGGAGGACCCAATTCCTGAAGACCGTCTTCTTCACCTCCTTTGCGGTGGAGATTGCTGCCAATCATGATTTAGGGCCAAAACTTAGGCCCCTTCTAGAGAGAGAGGACAGAGCACTAATTTTTGAGAGAGAAACTTTTTTAATAACATTTGATTTAAGTGACAAACTTAACAAACCAATCGGCAAATTGTAAAAAAATTATTATTTTAGTTTTCATCATTATCTAAATTTCATTTATACCTCTGAATTTATTTATTAATAAATTTTTTTTCTATACTTATATTGTTTGCTTTTACACGATTAACTTATTCTATCGTCAACTATATTTTTAAATAAATTTTATTGTTTGTTTTGATAAATTAATCTAAAGTTTCGTTTTATGCTCTATAATTTAGATCTGGAATCAGTGCAAACACAAAAAAAAAAAAAAGAATTCAAGCTTTTTGACTAAAACTATATCAGAGTAAAGATTATCTATCAGCATAACGATCACGTAACGAATCAAATAGGAAATGAAACTAAATTAATTGCAATTGACTACCATTGAATTAAATTAATTGGTATTGACAATATTGAGTTAACAACCACTAAAATAAATTAATAGGCATTAAATTTATAGAATTTTAAACAAAAATCCCTCCCAAAACCTAAATACATCAATCGATTTCATGTTGGAGGAGGGTACAACTCCTATAGCACCAAAGTTGTGTCTGCTGATGTAGAGGTCATATTTTGGGGCTCACATTGCATCAAATATTATATAAAACAATGACTTTCTGTGCCATGATGATACTTGAGTATATAGCTAAAGCATTTTCTTTGCGGTAATTATATATCCTCCCTCTGCCAATAAGGTGGCATACAAAGATTAACCAGTAGGATTTGTAACAACAAACATGAAGTATTTGTATAAGTGTTGTATATTTTTTAGAATTTGGTCCTACATAAGTGTTGGTCACATCCATAAGATAAAATTACCACAACTTTAAATGACAGGAGTGTATAAATAAATGGATGGACTAATCAAGATCCATTCCAACTTTTAAAATTGTTAAACAAATGGAAATTATTAAAACAATTATATTTCCTACTATGGAAAATAATAGACATATTCCCACTACAAAGTTTAAAGACGCAAAAACCCCAATCAATATTTCAGAACACTCACCTCCAAATCCTGAAGGGTTAAACACATATTTTCTGCATGTGCTTTCTGCCTTTTCAATGCATATTCAGCCCAGACGCAACAAACTCACTTTTCCAAAGCTGCATCATCTAAGAGAACATGAAACTTTATGAATCTAACTACATAAATCCAAGAGAACATGAAACTATATGAATCATACCTCTGTTATTATTCCACCAAATGTATCTCTTCTTGTTTTTAGGCATGCAAAAAAATTGAATAGAAACAAAGACATGAGAAACATAAGAAACAGAACCATAAAAAACGAAATGAAATTAAATCAGCAACACATAACTAACACCGAACAAGTAATGAGCATTAAGGTTCTAATATTGCCTTCCGAACCATAAAAATCGTTCACCCTCTTAGCTAACTCATTTCAGTTGCAGCGGCTCCAGACACAATTTCAATATCAATACTTTCTCTTAAGATAACAATTGACACTGAATAGCCACTTCTATTATTAACAACGGTAATCTGCATCATCATACCAAACAAATTAGAGGGAAAAACACATGCAACATAAAAAATATATAATAAAAAATAATTATAATTAAAAAATAATATTAATGAATCGTAGATAAATAAATAAATGTATAATAAAAAATAATAATTAAAAATTAATAAAATAATTAATTAAATATTAAAAAAATAATTATAATTAATTATAATAATGTTTTTATTAATATTATCTATTAAAATAACAAGGCTTCTAATAATATAATAAGTGGCAAATTTGTTAAAATATTTATTTTACTTTATTATATTTAATAGGTTATGGTACAAGTTTGAAACTTACAATTGCATGTTTGTTAATTTATAATTTTAAAATAGAGATACAAAGAAATAAACTTTTTAGATTAAAGTTCACCGAAATTAAAACTGGGGATATAGATTTCAACCTTTTCACTCAATTATTTTAATTTTAAAATGTTATTTTCTTCTCAAAAACAAATAAAACATTTGTTTATTTTATGACTACTAATTGATCTTCTATCTTCAGCCAAAACTAATGAATTTTGAGAGTGAATTTCTTCTATTTTAATCTTGCATAAATATTATTATATTTTTTTGGTCTTAGAACGTGTCGATTTAATCATATAAAAAATAGTTATTTGACTTAATAATAGTTTTGAAGAGCAGTCGAAGATATCGTAATTAGCGGAGGTCCTTTCTTCGAGGATCTTCAAAGGAGGATGACTTTTCTTACCTATTAGAATTGAGGGATTAGGTTTGTACTCGACAGTAGAGGCTGTCTTATATGTATTTGCGGATTCTAGGACCCAATCTTAAGTGTTATAAGATCATAATTAAGAGACAATGAGATATATGATATCGACATTGATTTTGAAAAAGCTTTGGATGATCTTAGTGCTACAACTCAAGATATTTACCTTAGTAGTTTTATAAGCAAGGATATTGTCCCTCCTAAAGCACAATATGTTTTGGCGAATGTCCTTTTTAGTAAAAGTGTTCAGAACATGGATGTAAAAGTTTGATATAACCACAAGACATATGAAATTCTGGTAGGTCATAACTCAGATGTCTTATAGGATGTCGAGACATATAATCCGACATAAACAAACAAGGCAATTCATAAACAATATAAAACAATATTGAAAAGCATAAACAACACAAGAATTGTTAATCCAGTTCGGTGACAACAACACCTACTCTAGGGGATACCAAGCCAGGAAGGAAATCTAATATTAGTAGTACTAATTCAAAGCTAAACTCTCATGTTTACAACTTATCACTTAATCCTTATCCAATGCAACTTATACGTAGGAACTCCTAGATATGAGTATACCCATTCACTTCTAATCACTGCAACAATGTCTAACAATCCCAATCCCAGTTATTATATCGACGTCCTTTCACCTAAATGAAGATCATACTTCAAATACAAACAAACCCCTTAATCAAGACACCTCTTGATTAAGAACAACATACTTGATCTTGCTTCACAACTTTGATCAAAAATAATATTTAAAGTTGTTTAAAAGCTTCCTCCAAGAACAATACTACCTCTTGCTTAAAAGCTTCGAGGAGAATAATAACACAGACTACAACTCTATAACATCAGTCCAACTCACAACCGAGTGGAACACACAATCAACTCTCTTAGAGAGTGGTGCAAACTCATCCCTAATAACTACATATTTTCAATTCTCGACTGGTATGAAAACTAGGTTACAAACACTTCTATTTACAACCTTTTCCAACTGGATTTGGGCTTCAAAAATGCAACGGAGAGACTGCACAAAATCTACAAAAACTTCTTCTATAAAATAGGTCTTCAATCAAAGCTTTTCTAAAATATCTCCATATTTAGAATTTTGAATATCTTGAATATCAATATAAAATCTATGATTTATCAATCTTGGACGCCACATAGAATTACTAAATATTCCCAAAATATTCAGTAATTAAATCACAACAACTGAATCCAAACTGTCAGCTGTAGCAGACCTGATGTCTTATACTTCTAATTAGGACATCCCATTCGACATGTTCAAACATTAAGTTGAAATAACTTCCTAACTGCAAAACTGTAACAGTCTAATGTCCTGATCTTCTGGTTAGGACATCGTATTCGACGTGTTGAAACTGCAAGTTAAAATATTTTTCAAAACTGCAAAATTGTAACAGACCAAATAGCCTATACTTCTGGTTAGGACATCACACTCGACATGTTAAATGTGTAACTTGAAACACCTTGTTCAACATGTTACTGCAAAGTTAGTTTTACCAAAATTTATATCAATCATAACTTCAGAGAAATAACAATATAAAATAATTTTTGATTGTTTGCAAGCAGCACATGCTCAAGATTTTCTCTTGACTATCCATATTGATGGTTTAGGCAAACACATGTCTCTAGTAGAATATTATACCATCCTTAAATATCAGCTTATGATTCCTTTATTTCTTGTTGATGAGGTATATGAGTGTATATGAGTTAAGTTGGACTGGACTTGGTATAACTCGTTACTCATCTCGTTTAAATTTTAATGGGTTGGATTCATCGTCTAACCTGTAATTTTAATTTCAAACACGAACAGAACCAACCAACTCATTTACAAATTGAGTAGGGTTGAGTTCACGAGTTGTGAATAAAAATTTCTATTTAAAAAAAAATTACACAATTCAATACATTGACACATATTTTCAAAACATAAATAAAATCAAACACATCATATAATATCAAATAAAATTCATCCATATGCATAACACTTAATAATATTAGCAAATTTCATAAGACATATAATTTTCATAAAATATATATGTTAAAAATGACACAAAATCAAATAAGCATCGACACTTAATTTTAAAATTACATGAAATCATTAATCCATAGTACAATATTACTATAGCAACATTTTTCGTGTTGAATGAAAAATTATAGGAAAATAGTGGTTTGTAGTTGCATATTAAATTTATTTTTTCATTTAAAACAAAATAAAATAAAAAGAAAGAAATCACTAATTTCACATAAACATCAACGGGTTCACGGGTTAAGAAACTCAAACTCAATACCCAACACAAGTTATGAAGATTGTCGCAAGTTGTGTTGGGTATACTCGTAAATGAACGGGTTCATGTAATTAATGAGTTGATTTGATTTGGATCGACGGGTTTATGGGTCGACCCACACCCATGAACACATTTAATGAGATATGCCTTGTTTGCCTCAAGGCATGCTTTGATACATTTGGGGAACACGTCATTCATTGTAATGAGTTTTAAGAATTCAAATA